CCTTTACTAAAATCACCTATGTAAACATTGGCAATAATTGTGCACTATTAACCAGCTAACCAGTCCCTCAGCAACTGCTGGAGAAGTTTAGCCTAGCAGACGTCATTAACTGCGAAACGGAAAAGTGCAACAACATTATCAATAAAGGAAATAGCTGCAGCAGTAAGAACCGGTAACGATAAAAATAAACAGTAACTGCGATCAGTGTCAACGTCAAAAAACTTGTCGCATAGTTATAGATGAGTATAATTGCTTCAGGCTAACACTAAGTAATACTAATTTACAAGTCCAAAAGATTCTGGAATAATCTTTTGGCCGTTTGCCAGTACTCTGCACTGATACAGCCATACGGAGTACAAAGAATTTTTTTGGATTGTTCTGCTGTACACCGCCGATCATTGTACTGTGTTTAAAGAATAACAGAGAACAACTGCAGAACGGCAAATGCCACGGCCCTAGTGAACTTAAAAGGTTATCGGTATTTGAAAAATTGCTTTAGTGGACTTGTTGTGGTGGTCATCTTACATATTGTACACATATTCAAGGGTCATCACAAATCAACCGATGTTCTTGATTGATATCAATGTTTCGGGGGAAATTTTTTTCCTACTTTTTTTTTTTTGCCTTTTTTGTGCTACCTAAAATATAAGTAGGACAGCACTGATTTCAGCAGTAAAAAGTAGTCATGGGTGTGACATTGTTTAAAGCTTAAGCTAAATGCAGAACAATACTCTGGCTAGGAACATCGGCTAACTGTCCACTGTTGGTCGTTATTGATGTTGTTGATTTTTTTTTTTTTTTCAAAAGTGAGGACAATTGCAACGTTGGCACTGCCGTTTCTCTTTTGAAGATTAGTTGATAAACAGAGTAGAAAACTGTGGTAGGACCCTTACTGCAACATTTCGAAAGTGGTTATACCTGCGGCTCCTGAACTTAAACTTGGAAATTATGCGGTCATGCTATAGTATAAGTTGTTAAAATGTTATCTTCCAGGAGATGCATTTTAAAGAAATAACAACTGACGACGATGGTGTCATGGAAGTAAGAAAAGTGG